GAGAGAGAGAGAGAGAGAGAGAGAGAGAGAGAGAGAGAGAGAGAGAGAGTGTTACGCCAAGACCGCGCGAGAGCGCAGGAAAGGCCGCGGAGGGGAGGGGAACGACCGGATCAACACACTCATACTCTTAAGCAGACGGTCCCCCAGTTCAGTTTCCCCATCCCCGCCCGGACGAGTGCATACACACATACATGCATGCAATCAACAGCCCTTGACAAAACATCTAATCATCCATGGACCTTCGACGTCACTCATGCGCATAACCAGCTCCCATCACTCGGGGCTTCACACACACGACATGCATAGACAAAGCAGCAATGGAGATAAAAGCGAGTCCTTCTTGTACACAAAAAATTCAATTAACTGGCGCCCCCAGGCGCAGCCTTCAAAACTTCCCAAGACCACCGACCACCATAGCCACAAGGCTCTGCCGCGGCCGACGTCCAATCCCCACCACTGCTCAGTCCCTTCGACTGCTTCGCCCCGAGACTACCGCAGGGTCCACCCCATGTCCTCACTCTGTCCGTCCTTAGGCTCGTCGAGCCTGTTCGGTGCCGCGGACTCTCGCGCATAGCTCGCACATCATTGCAGCCAAGATCAAAGAGGAGGAGAGGAGAGGGTTGCGCAAATTTATAGCGCGGGAGGCGGCGGGTTAACAACGCGAGGTGCGGGCAGCGCAGGGTGTAGATGAGCAGGGCAGGAGAGAGAGAGGTGGGGAGTTAGAGGGTTCGATCCGCGGGATTGCATGGCTACGTGATTGGGGTGTTCGTCCAAGTGGTGCGCGGTTTCCCGCTTTCCACATTGATCCGAGCATCCCAACTACGCAGCCAATCACTTCGCGGAGGAAGACGGGGTAAGGATCAAGCTTGGCGTAGGGGAAGACGAAGAGTCCTGCATGGGGAAAACGCGCGCAGCAAGAAGGGAAGATGGCGCGAGGATGCAAAGCAAGAAACGGGGATGCGAGACGCGCGAAGAAATCAGAGCTTGGGCGCGCGCGCAAAAATTCAAAAAGTCCCAACCGCACCCGTTTCTTGGTTTTCATACCGCGGCCGCTATTCGCCCGCGGGAGTTATTAACCAAATAAAATGAAAAAGCCGTTTCAAAAAGAAAACAAAAGCAAAAAGAAAGAAAAAACCCTTTTCTATGCGCGCCCATATTTCAGGGCTTCCGCGGGATTTTTCCCCAGGGATACGGCAAGCCGCGGGGTACGGATCTGAGCTTATCACATCTATGATACGCAGGGGGTTTCGAAAAATTAGCAGTCTCCCGACTGCTGATGTCATCATATCATGGATGATCGGGCGACCTCTTCATTGTCAGCTGGCCCGATCATCTTCCTAATCTACGCGGATGCATCCTGCATCCTCCATCGCCTCCTCCCATAGTATACATTCGATCGGGCAGCCCCTTCATCGTCGGCTGGCCCGATCGGTAAGTAAAAATATATTTTTTTTAATTTTATTTTTATTTTTTTTATTTTTTATACAGCGTGTATCGCCGCGCGAGCTTTAGATCGGAAAAGAAGAAGAAAAAGAAGAGAAGGAGAAGGAGAGGACAGGGGAGAGGTAGACGAGGGTTATCAGAGGAAGTGATCTATGTCGGGATTGAGAGGGGGCGGAATAGGTGGAAGAAAAGCGGCCATTGCCGCAGGAGTCGTCGGCGTATCTCCCTCATGGAAGTGATGCTGGACGAATGAGGGGTAAAGGAAAGCCCCCGGCACATGTGAGAGGACAAGTGGCACCAGATCCGCTACCGCTCGCACCACCCACTTGCGCACCGATCGGGGCCCTGGACCCGTCATCACCACATGAGTCTCGGTGTAAGGCCGCCGCTCCCGCTTCTGCGCCGCGAAGACCAGGAAGTGGTACATCGCGTTTGGACGCTGCCCGGTCTCGTTAATGAGCGTCCCAGCCAATCACACCACAATACACCCTTGGAAAGGGGGTGTCAGATATGGCTCCCACGCCGGATCAGGGCGCGGCGCCCCCGCGATGGCCTCGAGCCTGATGGTGGCGGGCTCCACCATGAAGTCCACCTCGGTCGGATGGACCGTCCGGCTCGGATGAACTACTAATGTCAATGACCGGGGCACCCCGGGGTGGCTGGCGGGAACGGAGAGGTCCCGCGAGGACGGGGTGTCTGGATAGGGGATCCGAAAATCCCATTCGGCTTCCTCCTCCGGCTGCTGCTGCTGATGATGGCCCGACTCCATCAAGATTGAGATCGGGCACACGCTGAATGGGCGGCGATGGCACAATAGTCTCCTTAACGAGCGTCGCCGCACTCCCAAGCACAGGGTCAGGAATCCGCGTACGCGCGGGCTGAATCACCTCCTCACCGCCGCCGATCCTGCTGCCTTGCGCTCCTGGCGACAGGTGGCGTCTCTTCCTCTTCGGCGTCTTCTTGGGGGCCTTCGATGGCGCTGGTCGAGGATACGACGAGGGAGGACGCAACGGCCTTTCCTTCGGGAAGTCCTCCAATCTCTCCGCGCGCTGCGCAATGTAATCCGGGATGACGACCGCGCTGTACGTTCTCCGCGGGGCCGTCGCCGTCCGCAATCGTGGTTGGATCTCCTCCTCCTCGCTCGCGATCACTTGCACAATGGAGAGGAGCTCAAGATGTATGAGCTCCAACAATCCCAGATCGATTGTCTGGAGCGGGGCGAAGGGGTACAGCGCCACCGTCCCTTCCTTCTCCGCTGGCTTGGGCCGCGCGATAACGTAGTAAACGACGAAGTGCTCCTCGATAGTGTGGTCTTCGTGATCCACGAAGAACCGAAACATCCCCAGCGCCACCGGCTTGTACAGCGCACGGTGCAACTCCTACGCGTCTTCGTCGGCGAAGGGCGGCGGCTCCACGTCAGTTAGCTCCACCAGATACTCCGAGAACTCACGCATGGGGTAAGGGCCCTCCGTGAGCTGGTAGGGGAGGGTGGTGTAGGAGAAGAAAGGAGGCATTTAGTACGGACAGGGGGAATAGCTTGGAGGTTGAGAGGAGCAGCGGGAGGGAAAAGCGTGGGGAGCTGGGCACCAATGCAATCGGTCCATCCTCTGCCCTACGCAGCAGCACTTCGTGGGCTGTGAATCGGTGTCCCCCCCGTCCTTGCACTCTGGCCACTGATCTGGCCGCTTCCACCGCGTATTCGCGCACAAAGCTGCGCACCAGCTCCCGATTCTGCTGCGGTAGGACAGTCAAGTCTCCGATGAAGGTAGCGACGCTGTGCACGAAGTTGGGTGCCACCTGGAGCGCACGGAACTCAATGAATACTCGGGTCGTCTCCCGGCCAGGCAACTGCGTCACGTCCACGTACACCCCCGCATACGTCAGCCGATCACAAAGCAACGAGTACGCCACCAAATCCGCAACCCCGGGCGCCGGCACGTTCACCTGCTGAATGTCGTACTGCAGCTGCCTCTCCTCATTGAACCGATGCCGCAACAGGCGATCTGCAAGCGGCGTCTGGAAATGCTCGAGGGGCTCATGCTCCGGCTGGCGATGGTTCATCCTGCTCCCTGAAACTCTCAGCACCAATGGACGAGGCAGATCGGGACGAGGGGGAGGATGAGGATGAAGAAGGAGAGGGTGATCTCGCAGGAGCGGGGGTCCGTAGGGGACCTAGCGATGGCTGGAAAGGCCGGAGCGCGGCCGTATGCCATGTCAGCGGTCGGGCCTGGGAGTTGTGACGGGGAATCAGCTTCATGGAGTGCTGTCCCTGTGCGCCAACTTCCTTCACCTCTGAAATGCCTGTGTACCACGGGTGGATCTTGGAGGAGCGCACAAATTTTCGTACTTGCACCAAGTCCCCAACTTTATAGCGGGGCAGTGGTCCCGCCGACGCGTGTCGATTCTCATAGTCACGGATCTGCCGTTGATGTGTCCGATCTACGGCCTGCTGTCGACGGTGAGCTAACGAGGGATAGGCCCTAGCCATTCAGTCCATGTAGTGGCGGGCCTTGTCTCGATTCTGGGCCCGTGTTGCTCTAACTCCCGTACCTACTAAGGGGGACAATTGCACCCGAGGGACAATATTGGTTCTCAGTTGAAAGGGGGACACCCCAGTACTACCGTGTGGGGTGACCCGATAAACGGCCAAAATATGGTCGACAATGACCGGCCAGGCTCGGGTGTTTCCCGCAGTGATATTCCGTCTAAGGGCCGTCTTAGTTAGTCGGTTGACATTCTCTACCAGGCCGTTGGCTTGAGGCCAATGCCACGGCGATTAGATAATCTTAACGTCCGCCCTGACTAGGTGACGTTCTACTTCGCCTTGAAATTCCAACCCATTGTCCATGTGTACCTCTTCTACGTCTAGATGCATGCACAAAAATCGATTTACGTACCAGGCTATTTCCTGCGAATTACGACTGGTCATGGGGTACGCCTCGATCCATTTTGAAAAATGATCGACGACCACTAAAAGAACATTGAGTTCTCCCTGATCGACGTGCCCTCTCGAAACGTTGATATCCATCGTATCGATGCTAACCCTCTGAAAGGGGCGCTCTATACAAGTGGGCACCATCGTCCGAGGTATCTGTACCGGCGCCTTGTCCGCCGCGCAGGCCGGGCAATTCTGAACGATGTATTTCACATCCTCCCGAATTCCCGACCAGTACCATCCATTCTTTTCGATGGCTTTTTCCGTGTACTTGACCGCGAAATGGACCGCATCCTCCTCATGAGCGGCTCGTGTCCAATCGAGCCTAGCAAGAGGGTGTGGAACCGTCAACCAGCTAGACTCTCCGTCGTCATCGACCTTCCGTTTTTGTAACGTCGGGCCCTGCCAGCGATAGTCGTGTGCCCGCTCCGTGACTCTACGGGAGTCTTTGCCGTTCGGCTTTGGTAAGTTCTGACAACGAGTCGCCTGACAGTCTCCGTAGCAACAGAAGGTCCGTCCAGGCTTCTGCCCGGCGGGCACTTGGCGCAAATCCGTCGGCTATTCTAGCGTCCAGATACCGCTTCTCGGTAATGACTTGGTCCGTTCTACGGTTGGGACAGACCCACGTCTTTTCACTTCGGTACCTAACGCACTGTCCGTGAGATTTGACCGTATAATACTGACTACATTGTACCCATCAAAGAAAACTGGGTCCTCCCGGATGTGACCCTTCTTGGTCCGGGATCATAGGCAAGGTACAGAAGAAACAGGGACTTAGGTGTGTTTCAGAGGACGATTTGGGGCTAGACGAGAGAGCGAGGGAGTGGGATGAGGGCAGAGAGATAGCGTCGACCATCTCCGATGAAACCTCCATTCCGGACTCAGGCGTCGTCCTTACGCAGCACGTGTAGCTCCCCGTAGTGCGGTTTCGTCGCCACGACTTCTGGCCTCCACGGAATGAGTCGCTCGTTGGCGGGACACTTGTTGGGCGGCAGAAGGTGCGTTAATCCATCGGCGTTACCATGTTGCCGCGTCGCACGGTGGCGGATGTCGAAGGCATAGTCTTGCAGACGCACCGCCCACCTGCCCAGTGTCCCCGTGTAGTCCGTGTTGTTCCGTAGGAACAGCAACGGCTGATGATCCGTAACCAGCACGGATTTCTGGCCGTACAGATACGGTCGGAAATGCTAAATCCCCCACACCACCGCCAGGCATTCACCTTTGCACGCTTCGTAATTAGTCTGCGCCTGGCTCAGCGTCTTGGACGCATACTCAATGACGTGCTCCCTTCCGTCCTTGCCGTGCTGAGTCAGCACCGCCGATATCGCCTGAGGCTGCCAGTCTGTGTACAATGCGAATGGTCTTGTCGGGTCGGGGCGCGCCAACACAGGAGCAGATGTCAGAGCCTCCTTCAACGCCTGAAACGCTGCTTCGCATTCCGGCGTCCAGATCAACTGTTCCTCTTTCTTCAGCAGGTTCGTGAGGGGCTTCGCTATGCCGGCGAACCCCTTGATGAAGCGTCGGTAATAGGATGCCAGGCCTAGAAAAACCCAAACCTGGGTGAGTGTGACTGGCGCCGGGGCGTCTTGAACTGCTGCCACCTTCCTTGGATCCGGTTTTAGTCCGTCGACCGTGACGATATACCCCAAGAATGAGATCTCCGACAAGAAGAACTCGCTTTTCTCCAAGGCCACTTTGAACCCCGCATCTTTCAGTGCATGCAAAACCCACTCAATGTGTTCCACGTGGTACTCGTGTGTTTTTGAAAAGACCAAAATATCATTTATGTACACAATCACGCAGAAATTGATCAGGGGCTGGGTCAGTCGGGTTTTGTTAACGAACTCAGCGAAGGCCATATTCATGGCCCGCTGAAACGATGCAGGGGTGTTACAAATTCCCATGGGACACCGGACCCATTGCCACGTGCCCTTAAATAGGACAAAGGCGGTTTTGGGTCAGTCCTCCGGTCGGACTGCGACGTGGTGAAAACTGTGTCGGATATCGAACTTGGAAAAGACTCGAGCGACCCCGATAGCGTCTAACAAATCATCGATTCGCGGCAAGGGATACACATCTTTGGTAGTGATGGCGTTCAATTTCCGGTAGTCGATACATACCCGAACCGAGCCATTTCGTTTTGGCATGAGGACCACGGGAAAAGACCATGGTCCCAGCGATGGTTCGACCCACCCCAACCGCTCGAATTCCCGTACCCTTTCCAACGCCAGCTGCCTTTCTCTAAGGGAATATTGGTACGGTCAGCAATGTATCGGGGCGTGATCCCCGGTGTCAATCGCGTGTTGTATCAAAGGGGTTAGCCCTATGTCGTGGTCCTGAATACTGACGGCCTCAAGATAGGCCCGTATAACCGCCAAGAGGAGGCGTTTGTATTCGTCCGGAACACGGGCTGGTAACTGAACTTCTACGGTTCCCCCAGGAAAGGAGACCGTCATCGTAACCGTGGGGACCGCCTCGTTGGCATCGGGTGAGGCCTCAAACAAAGAGTTGTCGGTTTTCGCCGAAAGGACCGTCGCAATAAGTTGGCTGTCTGCTGGATTCATCGGCTCGCTTTCCATGTCGCTGTCACTGTCCAGTTCGGGTTCGGCGGAGGGTTCGACCGAAAAGGCCTGCGCTAGTTCCCTCGGTCCCCACCGATACTCCCTCGTTCGGGGTTGAAACGACACCCCTTCTTTCAGGAGTATCGCGGCTTTTTCATTCGTGAGTAGGGGCCGTGGAGGTCGAAAAGATGAATTGCACAGCCCCCTCAACTCGGTAAATCTTTCAGGTAGGGGCTCCATCCTGCGATACAAGGAGGCAGGGGGTTCGAAAAGGTCAGCTATTCGGGACACCTTCAGCAGGGGTTCCCCCTGCACCACGGAGGAGAACGCGTGCGACCAATTGGACTCGCTCCGAACTATTTCCAGTGGTTCTCACCGCCAAGAGTGGCGCCACAGATCCTGAATTCGGATCGGATATCAGTCGGGTACATCAGTCTTGTCAGTTTCCGTCGAGGGTTCATTTTCGTCTGGCGACAGGCGTCGGATCATGTTGATTTGATGGGCTTTCGTGGTGAGGCGAGGCGCCGGCTGGGTACACATGCGCACCGCCAGTCTCATTGGTATCGTTTGGGGTTTGGGGTGGGCCGATGTGAGCACCACCTTACAGCTGTCAAAGTGCATTCGCGCTCCGACCACCGCCTGCCACGGAATGCCTAGCAGAACATCATACGCTTGTACATCCAGCAGGATCACGTCACACAAACAATGCACCCGCCCCACCCGTATAGGCACGTTCGTTATTCGCCCTTTACAATGAACACTATCTTCCATAGCGGATATATACAGTTCATCCGGTCAGAGGGGCTGAACCTATCCTTCCCTTCCCAGCTGTTTCGTCAATCTCCAAGAAATGGCGACCGTCGATGATCCCGAGTTTAGGATGGCGGCCGAGGGGTTTCCCCAGACCTCACAGT